AACTGGATAGAAAAAAATTGTTGATTTAAAATTGAAAATGATTTCACACTTACACAGCTCTGGTAGTTAGGTACACATGTGTGTGCATTTGTAAGCGCGTTCTCAATGTGAAAAATGAAAGTGAATTGTCGATAAAAATTGTCAAAAAATAGAAATGAACAGAAATGACGAATTCCGGCACACAGCAATGAACGCAATCACACATACATACATACACCGGCATACGCTCGCATAAATTGCATACAATAAATACGCAAATGGAGTTACACAGTCAGTGATTCAGTATGATGCAGACGGCAGCCAGTCGCACACACACACACACACACAAGTGCACAACAGGACTTTGGAGCATACCCTGCAAAAAGTGGGACTAGATTAAACTCTAGTACAGGACCACACTACGACGTAACCAACACTAGTAACCGAAATGGTCCAAATATATGAAAAAAATATGGTTACATTAACATTGCGATGTCATTGGACCTGACCACCTTTGGTCCAACGCAGCATAACACTGGACCACCTACGTAACCACACCTTTTGGACCATCGACGCGACTGCTTACACTGGACCACATACGTAACCACACCTTTTGGTCCATCGACGCGACTGCTTACACTAGACCACTTCTTAAAGTGTACCTACTGGACTATTATATCTGGTGGTTGCACTAGATCATGTTGTATTCTCATCTGATTAGACCATATTTTAGACTAATTACCTTGGATCATTCTTTGGTCTAATGACAATAGACCATTTAAATGGTCATGTAAAATAATAAAACCTTAAATAAAATAAAAAAACCTATTCCCATTACTTTTTTATAAATTTTATTTCATCGTTTGCTTGTGTTTAATACAATTTTCACTCGTTTCTTTAACACTTTTATTTGATGTGTTCTATTGTTTAATCTACTTCAAATTCTTTAGTTTTTACATTAAATGTTTACCATTACCATTTTTCGAAAAACTATTTTTATTTCTAAACTATAAACTATAGTTATTTCTTAAAAGCATATAATAATAGTAATGGTAATGTTCATCATATTGAGAGGCCGTAACTCATATTATTTTGAATTTCAGCTCTATGCAAAGTCGGTAGATTACTCACAAAAGACTTAATCGATTTTAAAAGCATCTACTACGTACATCAAAAAATTAGTTTCTGTGTTTATTAAAACCAGTGTAATGAAAAAAATCTCAACTGAAGATATTTAGTTTTTTTAAAGCTACTCCGTAAAGGAACAAAATTTGTTAGGTAGAGCCTTTCTATATTACGGTAACGATACGAAAGTTAGTACTTATTAATTATGTTTTTTCTTATTAATTGTTATTTTCATATTTGTCAAAAATATTTAATTACTTCATTTTATCATTGATGGCATTACTATTCTTTCGCATTGCATATTTTTTAGTATGTATTTCTATGTAGTTAATTTTATTATTAAACATTCATTTATTATTTTCACATTATTTATTTAGTAACATGTATATTTATTTTTTAACCATCATGCTATTCTTAAGTGTTATTTATGTTAAATATTTATTTACATCTCTTATGAAATTATTTATTGTACATATTATGTATACATCTACATATGTATGCATATAAACATTTTTATTTGTAAAATTTTTAATTGTGTTTTATCTAAAAATTTATTAACATTTTTATTTATATATATTTTATACACTACACATTTATTGACATATTTTTAAGTTTGTTTTACATAAAACCTTTAACATTTCTATTTAGTTTAGTTTTGTATTTATTAATTTTATTTTTATTATTATTGTTACTATTATTATTATTATTACTATTAATATTTTTGATTGTGTTGGTTATTATTAGTATTTTTATTATTATTTATTTACTTATTTATTATACAGCTATCAACATCTTAATTTTTTATATATGTATAAATTATTCGAACATTAGGTACATATTTTGTAACTTTTATTTATTTTGTTTTGTAATTATAACTATTAGTTATTAGGTACGTCAACTATTTATTAACATTTCTATTTAGTTAATTTGTTAACGTATTCCAAACAAAAGGACAATAAAACTTTTCAAAAACGAAAACTTTCAAAAGTATGAAAAAACAAAAAACACATTTCAAAGTACTTATATAATATTTTTAAGGTAAAAGTTAATTAATTACTTTAGGATTTTCCTAAAGAAACCATTCGGAAATGCCTCTTTTTGACAATCTGTAAGGCCTTTCGTATTTCAGCTTCCGCGTTGACCGATGTTTTCCAATTGCTTCTGTAAATTAAAATAATAGAAGTTATATACCAAGTGAGGATACACTTCAAACACTTTCTTACTTTTTAATACCGTAAACACTTCAGTAAAATCCTTCAGACATTTTTTTCCGGATATGCCATAAATGTTGAATTGGAGACAAAAACTCCGTGACAGCACTTTTTCAAAATTTTTACCAACTTCCGCTTGAAGAAGGTATTGCCCTGCTGAAACCTGCAATATACACAAATTAAAAATTATGTTCATATACCTCCTACCAACTATAACTCCCATGCTAGTATCGCATTTTTCGAATCCCTCAATATTAAAAACAATAAAGGGTTTTATGAAACACACATTATTTGGCCTCTTGGTACTAAAAAAATAATGCTGATTGGTATAGGATTTTATTTTCGAAGTTGACTCTACAAAACCTATTCTTTTTGACTCAAGAACGAAATCAGAGTGACTATTTGTATTATAAATTTGTTCTAATATGTGTGTAGGTTTTCGAACGTTTTTTTTAAAGTTTGCAAAAAGTTTTCGAAATCGTATGCAGAAAAATTTCCAAGAACTCCTAGTGTTTTAACGCTGTCAGTCAAATGTAGTAGATTGTGGACATTATATGAGACACTATTATCATGGAAAATTTTTGGAAAATTTTCTACAAACAACTTAAGTGTCTCTTCCGCATTTGAAATATTTGAATGCACATTTTTAGGGCAGGATAACAATCTGCAAGCGCAATGCAACAATAAAAACTCATAGTAAATACTATCATGAACATTGTCTTTAAGAACTAAAATACCCGTGTAAAGCAAAAATTGCCTAAATTCAGTCGCTTTCCAATACGGGACTTCCTCAAGACTTCGAGGCAACCGAACGAATTCTTTGGGAATATTGGTTCTAATGGATGCCAAATTATTATTAATTATCATATTAAAATCCAACTTATTTTTCAAAATTTTAACCAAAAACTTCTTTGTTACACCTAGATCTACCAAATGCATTGGGTCTAAAGGAACCTGTGTTATCATGCGCAAATAAATTTTTTCAAATGGAGTTTTATTTGAGCGAAATCCTATTTGGTGGTGATTTAAAAAATTTCTTTGGGCAAAATCTTCATCACTGATTAGCTCGCCTGCTTTTGTAGGTTACGTAAGGACGTTAGCTATTTTTTTCGCTTCTTCAGTGCACTTTGAACATCCATGAGCAGATGTGTGATGGGGAATTCCGCATGCAAACGCCCTAGCAGGTGCATCGCATATTAAAGCCCTCATTTTTAAGCTGAATATTTGTCCGCCTAATTCCAAACCGTTTTCTTTCAACAATTGGTACCCATTTATAAAATAGCTCAAAAACTCATTAACATCATTTGGCTTTTGCTTGCCTTTATAAACACCAACTGGGAAAACAGAAATGTTTGGAGCATTAATGATTTTTAATAAAATTGGCCAAAGTTGAGTTTTGGAGCTATTAAATAGAGGTAAGCCATCAATATTAAGGTCAAACACAATTTCTTCGTAGTGACAAATATAAGTTGCAATCCCGTATTCCTCGGACTCGGACTAGTAAAACTGTCAAAAAATAAAAATTCGCTCAGAGCGAGAGAGTAACATTGAAAAGTACGGGATCGCTTTCTAGTAAAAAATGGTAACTTCTGTCAACTTCAACATAACCTCCAAATTTTGGTTGTAAATTTTTGCTTATTTTGTATGTAAACACACTCAGCTCACACATGTAAATAACCAAAAATACTTTCAAATTCATTAGAATCCACTTAAACAAGTAATTAAATACTTTTCAACATGAACTAGCAGAGTGCACTTTTCTTTTGTTTACAATTTGGTTGCCAAACACACTACAGCTGATCGTTTGACACATTTACCAGAATTTACCAGCAAAAAATTCTGACAGAGAGGGAACCGTATTTACTCTCTTTTTTGGGTTCTCAATAGTCAGAGAACCAAGTACGGGATCGATTTCCAGTAAAATCTGACTGATTCTGACTGTTTCTGACTAGTCCGGACTCGTACGGGATCGCAACTATAATTTGCAATTTTTTTCATTTGATTTTTTATTCCAAAGTGAACATATTCCCCCGGGGGAACATGTTGCACAACCACCTTTTCACTGTTTAAATTAAGAAGAGCGGACGGACTTAAAGGAACGTCTAAGTTCTCCTCTTTGAGGATAATTCACAGGGCCCTTAAACTTTGGTGAGGGATTCTGCTTTTTATTTGCCATGCCGCAAGTTTTTCGCGAAAGGTTTTTTTCTTTGGCATCTCATTCGCACTCAATCGACGCTTCGCTCGCCACCAACTGCTGAGCATACAATGCTTTTTTTTCTTTTACAAGACGTTTTAAATGCCTTTTTGAACACTGCATTTTATTGCAAACTAAACCGCACTTATAATTTAATAGTTTATCACTACTTTTATTAATAATTGGCTCACCTGAACACCCAAAAAGTAAATATTAAAAATTCGCAAATCGTCGCCTTAAGGGATTAACTTCAACTGATGATGAGCTTACGGATGTAGGGAGCAGTGTTGCCGTTTCAGCGCTTTATACCGAAGCGAAAATCCTATTTTAAAAAATGAAGTGTTTCGGAATGATTTGCGATTATTCGAGTACGGTGAGTTCTCAGTTAGTGTAATCAAAACATATTAATTAAAATTTAGTTTTAAATAATAAATACAATTACTAATAGATCGAGTAAGTTTGAACCAATCGGTTATTTAGAGTAGTTTATTTAAAACTGAAATTTAGAGCAAGAAAATGTTGTAAGATATAAACAATTTTTACACTTGTTCAAATAGCATTTGACTAATTTATGTTAAATTAGTTAATTTCATTGTCAATTTGGTTTAAGAAAAATATGTAAGTACCATACATATGTACATACGTACAAGAATATGTATGCTACTATTTTTTTCGTAAGTTTGTGTTGATATATTGAATTTTTTGTAATATGTTTTAGATTCTTTAAAGCAAAACTTATATCTTAGAAAGTAAATAGATTTCATAAGACGTTACATGACGGGTTCTAAATCTAACCGAAATATTTTTTTTGGAAGCGATTGCGGCAGCCCTGCTTAGAATGCAAAAGGTATTGCCAGATAAAAAGCAACCAGGCTACACATACATATTTCACTTAAATAAAAGTAAAAAAACGTTTGCTTTCACTTAATAAATGTAAGAGGTATTATAAATCGAATACTTAATTAAGTAACTGAAGAATTGTTGTCGCATTACAAAGGAACAAGTTATTTAAAACTGTATGTACTGTGAGTTAAATGTGTTATTGTTTTATATATGGCAATACCTCTGGCCGAATACAATTACCGACTATTCACGAAAGACGACGCTAAAAGTGCAACTGAAATTCGACATGGTCCATTACAGCATAACATGTGGCATATATGTAACCAGGTCGCTTGCTACCTACAGCAAAACATAGTCCCATCGGGCCACCTGGTCTTCAAATTTTTGCAGGGTACATTTGCACATTCATGTGTTCGAGTATCTGTGTGGAATGACGGCATAAAGCAATAAATATGGCTTTTTCGCGTAGAAGACTTTATAAAATGTTGTCATAAAGCCAACGACAGTAGCAAGTAAAATACAAATATTTCAGTAAAAAACAAGTTAAACAAAAAAAAAACGAGTGAACAACAAGAAAAAACACTAGCTGAAGCAACAAAATGGCTACAAATCTAACCACATATGACAATATGCATACATATACAAATATGTTAAGACAAAAAAAAAGCCAACTAATGCGTGCTCTCTCTCTTCGCAGGACTCCCATTTCTTTGCCTTTTACAGACTTTCTTCAAGGCAATTTTTTCTTCTTTCTTTAGTTTATTTCTCGCTCACTGCATGCCGAAATATTCATTTAGTCGTTATCACAATTTTCCTATGAATTCACTATAGGTTTTTTTCTTTGGTTTTTTTCTCGATTTTTACTTCGCTTACTTCCTCTATGTACTCTGTACTGCACTTCTTCGCCGGCTGCCTAATTCTACTTTGCAAAATATTAGTAAATGCGAATAGTGTTCACCAAACCATGAAATTCGCTGATTTATGCATAAACGATAAAATTTGTAAAAGCGAGCAAAGTGCTGGAGGCGGCGTTGCACGTAAGAAAAAAAAATGCAGAACGTGTAACGAAATGCGCTGCGTGCATCAGTTTTTGCACAAGGATGCAAATGGAAATGCGCTCTGTCAGCATACCTACATACATATGTAGTGGGGAAGATGTGCTGCACAGTGATTAGATAGCTCCCTGAATTGCATTCAATATAATCCCTCTACGAATAGGTAATTTGTTGTGGAAATGCACGGTCATCAACAAAGCTCCTTGGATATCCTAATCGGAGAAACAAGAACCAAATTGTGATAGACTGAAAATATTCTCAGGCGTTCGTGGAGTAAACACAAATTGGATCACTCTATCATTGCAGCCAAGCATCGCATTCATCTTTATACAAAGAAGAACACGCGATTCGCAGAGCGACTATGGTTCGTCACCGAGAAGTTGCAGTCACAAAGGACGACCGACAAATCTCATTTTGGGCTCTCAATCCGGCTTTGAAAAACTAACTCCTGAGACAGAGATTCGAGAATGGAAATTCTTTAGCTAAAATATGTCTGTAGTACATCAGATATAAAGCTTGATAAGTGTGCGGGTATATCATAACAATATACACTGTTATCTGAAAGTATTCCTAACTCGGTATGTCCAAGACACCTTCAGCTTCACGGCCTTGGTAGACCAATTCCTTATTTCCAAGGCTTTGACCGTTGGAGCAATAATAGTACAGCTTTAAAAAACGACCGTAAGCTTGGGACCGAAATCAAACTATAAGTATTAGCTTATACATATCGTCGTTTAAAGTACAAAACCGCGTATCGTCATTCTGCAAAACAGAGTAACTGACATTGGCTGCCAAAAATTGGATTTGCTCAGACAAGCTCTTGGCTCAATCCTTATCCATTCTTCCTGAAATATACTAGCAAGAAGTGCGATTGCTTTATAAAAAAGAGAACCATTTTGAAATATGAGTGTTTTTACTCTCTAGAAAATAATTTATGCAACCTCACATACGCGGTTTTGCAGTTTAAACGACGATATATATCATGCTCTGACTGAGAAATGTTGCGGCAGTGTGGGGCAATGCCACTAACCAGCGAGGAGTAAATACGGAAGCGCTGTAAGTTGGTCCTCTCTTACCTCTTTTCTGGATAAGAGTTGTAAACAAACTGAAGAGACGGCCAGGTATTTTAATATGCAGATGACGCTGCACTTTTAAAGAAGGGTTGGTTTCTGGATAACCTCTGTGATCTGGTGACTAAAAGCACTACGCTCTAAAACCAAGTATGGCAGAACTGGTCTCAACTGGTCTTGTTTACTAGGAATTATAAGTTGCCTCACATTACTCTTCGATTGGTGGCATTCCACTGGCGCTCTCTGATAGAGTGAAATATTTGATTTGTCTCCCTACAGCTGTAAAGGCGCAATTGGCATGAGATGAGGTCTCTCTCCTAATGCTATTTCCTGACTCTGCAAACCCTTTATGCTTTACGAGTTCTCGACTGGTGGAATGCATTAAAGAACGCTACCGCCGATTTTGTAGCCACATCTGAAGGTGAAGATCGATAGGGTTTAGGTTGATGATAGCATTCAGCGCTTCTTTTGGTCTGTATTTTAGTGCACCCGTTACTTTCGCGCGTTCTGGCCTTTGTATGCTTCTAAGTTTACTGACATTGTATTATTTGCTTAGTCCGGGCCACCAGACCAAAGCGCCGTATGTCAAAATTCATCTTATGCTCGTGATATAAATCCAAAACAAGTTTAGGTTTTAGTCCCCAGTTTCTGCTGTAGTTTCGCTCCTGCTTCCTTAATGATAGCTAGCTTTGCCTGGAAAACAATACGGTGATCCGGAAGCTTCGATTTGAGGTTCCGCTGCAAAGATCACTATTCATCCTTAAAAAGCATGTGAGTGGAGAAAGAGCTCACTGGTGCAAGTTGAGACACGCAGGGTTCCTTGTTATCAAGAATAAATCGGTCTCGGAGGGTCCGGCCACTGGCGAACTAGGCACTTCGGGCACGGATTGATAGAATATGCGGTATACCAACTAGACTTCACCTATAACGTAAGTCCAATCCCCTTCTAGCATTGCGATGTGCTAACGGGAGTCTGCTCTGAGAAGCTCGGTGTTGCTGTGGTTCTACGACATAAAGCAACAATAGTATATATTGTGAGTTAAGCTAGTATCTCGGTCAACTACCGTGTCTATTTTCTGGGTTCCCGTATATAGGACTATGGAGGGCCATGAGAAGGTTAAAGAATTCACCAAGGAAAGAGCCTGTTTGCATGAATCCTAAACAGTGACAATCAGTTGCTCTCTTGGACAAATTCTCTTTGGCTTCGGCATTTCCATGAGCTGGATATACACAGCTGGTCAGATATATAGACCCGTAAGATATCAAGATAATTCTGACTTGAATATAAGAGAACGAAAACCTTTGACCTGCTTAAAAGATCAAGCATATAACTGTTCAGAATTGCAGCAATAATCACGACAAAAATAAAGCAAAGCTATAATAGGATTTGTCGCAGCTGTCAGCTAGAATAAAGGGAATAAAGTGTTCCGCATTTCCTATGTGATATCATATATATAAAGCATTAGGCAGACAACTAGAAACGAAATTAACCGAACTATTAGGAACTAACTTAAGCGAAATTGGAAGATTCAGTAGAAAGTGAAGATGGTTCTGACAGATGGCTTTCTTGACAGATATCCCATTGAAAATGATGTCAGAAACCTACAATTAACTTTGGAGTCGACTTCATTTTGACTATAATTATAGGTCATTATAGTTCGTAGTGGTTTCACGAATTGAATTTAGAGCAAGAAGGCTTACGATCATAACAAAAGCTGTTATTAACCATTTGAGAAGTACATATATGTATAAACACATTTTGCCCGCCTAGCGACAAGGCGAGTGAAACATCTTCTCTAAATGACTCTTATTAATATGAATACAGCGTTCAAAAAATCTAATGAGATGTTGATTTAAAGTTTTAAACACTAATTTCTCCAATGCTGGCCCACTGTGCTTTATAAGCATTACTAAGGAAAAACCGCAACGTAACCAGCTAAAGAAAGCAAGGCCAAGCAAACGAAATTGACGTGAAACGAATGGCGGCAGCAGCGCAGAATTGAAAGTTGCAATACAAATGTGTTGAGAAATGCATTAACTTGCATGCACTTGCTTGAGCACGGCTGTCTGCCGGCGTTTCTATGTGAGTGAGTGTGTGTGAGTATGGGCTGTGCGTTTGCTTAGGCAGCTAGAAATGCATGAAAACAAGCGAACCGCAACATTGATTGATATACATATATACATACATGAATGCATTTTTATACCCGAGCGCACTTGTGCACAAGGGTATTATAACTTTGTTCACATAACGGTTGTTTGTAACAGGCAAAACGAATCGAGATAGATATAGACAAATGTATACATAAATGATCAGAATGAAAAGAGAAATCGATTAAGCGGTGACTGTCTGTCCGTCCGTCCGTCCGTCCGTCCGTCCGTCTGTGCACACGATAACTCGAGTAAAAATTGAGATATCTTAACGAAACTTCGTACATGCACTTCTATTGGGCGTGGGACGGATGGTATTGAAAATGGGCGAAATCGGACAATAACCACGCCTACCTCCCATATAACGGTAATTTTC